TGGGGGAACTCCTGAGGGTCCGGGAGGGGGCATGTTAGGCCCTCCCATACCTGCAGAAGGGACCCAAAAAAAAAGGTAGAAAGAGAAAAAAAACACATGAAGATTTCAATTTTTGTGTGTGTTTACCAGGAGTAAAGTCCATCCCCCTGCCCAGGAGAGCCTGACCAGCACATACAGCTCTTTGCAAAGACATAAACCCCACCAGCATGTCCCCATCCCATTAGGAACGGTGCTGGAAGGATGGATCAGCCCTTCCACATCCCAAATTACCAGGAGGAATCTCCTGGCTTCGAGAGCAGCCAGGTGGGATGAAGTCCCAGCCCCTGGAAAGCTGAACAGCCATGAATCAGATGGGCTGTGAGATGTACAAATGGGAAAGTCAAACTGGGCGACACCAGGGTAGTGTTGAAGGATAAAAATGTGTCAAATTGGGACAAAACTGGTGGAAAGCTCCTTTTCCAGCTGTGGCTGAAAAGCTGCCCAGTGGAAAAGGACTTGTTGGTTGCCAGCCAGCTGAATATGAGCCAGCAGTGAGCCCCGGTGGCCAAGAAGGCTGGTAGCATCATGGTTTGTATCAGCAATGGTGTGGCCAGTAGGACCAGGAAAGTTCTCTTCCCCCTGTACTCGGCACTGGTGAGGCAGCACTTTGAGTGCTGGGTTCAGTTTTGGGCCCCTGACTCCAAGGAGGAGATGGAGGTGCTGGAGCGTGTCCAGAGAAGGGAACGGAGCTGGGGAAGGGTCTGGAGAAGAAGGAAAAGGGTCTGGAGAACAAGGAGAGAAGGGTCTGGAGAACTTATGAGGAGCGGCTGAGGGAACTGGGGTTGTTGAGCCTGAAGGAGGCTGAGGGGAGACCTTGTGGCTCTGTCCAAGTCTCTTGGAGGAGGGTGGAGAGAGGTGGGGGTGGGTCTGTTCAACCAAGGACCAAGGGACAGGACAAGAGGAAATGGCCTCAAGTTGTGGCCAGGGCAGTTGAGATGGGATGTGAGGAAGAATTTCTTTGCTGAAAGGGTTCTGAGGCATTGGAAGGGGTTGCCCAGGGCAGTGGTGGAGTCCCCATCCCTGGAGGGACTGAAGAGTCGTGCAGACATCATGCTGAGGGACATGGTTCAGTGGTGGAGTTGGCAGCGTTGGGTTCACAGTTGAGACTCTTAAAGGTTTTTTTCCAACCCAAATGATTCTGTGATTCTACAAAACCAGCAAAACCAGTCTGTCCCCAACTCACCGTGAGGTCTGTTATAGTTTGGAGGTGTCGGTCCCGGTCCAGGCCCTTGCACTGGTCCTTGCACTGGTCCTGTCCCGGAGACGGAGGGCGGAGGTAGAGTCGGCATTTGCTGCTGCATTCCAGGCATGGGTCGTTTCCCCTGCACCGCCATCTGAAGGTGGTCAGGAAGGGGTTGGCCCCTGGCCAGCATCTTGTAGGCCATGATCTGAGCTCGTAACTGGTGCAACTGGTTCTGGTTAAAAGGGGTCGGACCCCGGTTCTGCTGCCCAAGAGCTTGGGGATCAGTGCCATCCAATGGGACCCCACCAGGACCGGAGGACATCTGAGGGCCAGAGGATGGACCGTTGGCTGGGACAGGACTGGAGGCGTGCTCAGAGCCACCCAGGGGGGAAGGGTAACCTGGAGGGAGAGAGGGGGTTAGAGCAGAGCCTGCAGCTACAGAAATGGGAAGATTGAGTCAAAAAAAAACCCCCAAAATCAACAATTTAAAGCAAACAAAGTTTCTGGCCACGAGTGGCTGCATGGGAACAGCACGCTCGGCATCACAGCGATCTCAGCACAGGAGATCAGGATGTGAGGAGGGTCAGAGGATCCTTCTCCCAGTTTGATGTCATGTTCTTGCAGTTCTTTACTCGTTTTCATGTCTAAACTAAAGAACATCCCACGTTCATGTAAATAAAAGAGGGAAACAAGCAGCCACAGATGCTCTGGGAGCTCCAGGTCGATCCAAACCCCCATCCCCATAAAAATCAGCTTAATTTTTTGGAAAGAAACCCACCTTGAGAGTGTTGATCCATCGGGCTGGGGGGAGGACCCATCCCTGCATGCCCACCAGGCCTCATTCCCATCCCTTTCATCTGGCTGTAGCGAGGATCATCGGTTATTCCTTTCTCATGCATGGAGTCCATGGGCTGGAGGAGAAGAAAAACACCCTAAAAACCAAAGATTTAGCTCCAACACTCCTGGAGATGGAGGAAAAGCTGCACAATGCCGGCCATGGTCCAACTAAGGATCCAGATGCTGCCAACAACCTCTTCAAAATGAAATCTATTTGTGGGTAAAAGACCCCTCACCGCAGCAAAGCCCCCACAATAAATGGTGTGGATGGGGATAAGCACGAGGAGATGTTAGCAGAGACTTGAAATTGCTCAAATCCTTTGCCTGTGGGGTTTTTTCCCCCCGGGTTTTTCAGCTGAAGATGCTGAAGATGATGGAAAAAAACTGAGAAAAAGTGGTTTATACAACAAAATAAAACAAAAACACTTTGATGGGAGAAAGGGAAAAGAGAAGAGGGGGGTTTGTTTCTCCAAATTCCCAACAGGAAAATCCATGGTTAGATGTTTCACCCCCTTTCTTTGTTTAGGAATTTAACTCCTCGGCCCTAACTCGCAATGCCAAAGCGAGTAGATGAGATTGGGGTGAGACTCTGATATTTGTGGTAAAAAAATTGTATCAACCTAACTGGAAAATAAATCATTAACTCCTCAGACTTCCTGTCTCCAGGGAAACAGGACGCGGCCAAGGGAAGCGTGGTCAAGGGAAATATAACAGGTGAGGAATCAAAAAAATTCAATGAAGCAGAAAAACAAGCTACTTAAAACCATTTTTTTCTTGTCTTATTGATTTTTTTGGGGTGCTGCCCCCCCTTACCTTGTGCATCTGATGCATGTTGTCCTGAGCATAGCCCCCTGGTCCCTGCGGTGGCAGCGGGTGTCCCGCCGAGGGTGGCCCGGGGCTGGGTCCCATCATACTGTGTGCAGAGCCAGGAGAAGGTCCTGGACTTGGTCCCAACATGGCACCTGGTGAGGGTCCTGGTCCCGGTGAGGGTCCTGGTCGAGGAGTTCCTCCCATGGGAGGATCTGGAGTCGACATCTTCACAGCAGGAGTTGGGAGAAGGGTCCTGTCGCTAGAGAGCTCGTCTCAGCCGGAGCAGCCGCAGCTCCTGGAAAAGCCCCGGGATTGGGTAGAGAAAAGAGAGATTAGGATTAGAAACAACTGTCCACATGCAGGGGAGACGTCAGGCAGAGCAAAGCTCCGGTTAACGAACCCAGAGCTCGTTACTGACACCAGCCTTGGGTGGCCTTTGCAAAGCCAGAGGC